CCACGAATCGTGATACGAATCGAAGTTAAAACAAATCGTTACACCCCTAATAAATTATAATCCTAACAGTGAGAACTCCTTGACCATTTGACCCAGACGACTATGACAGTGTCTTTTCCCTCCACGTCAAGGTAAGGCAGGATCTACAGAGAATGTGTGACTGTGATGCAGAACGGCCCAACACTGATCTGTGGCCAGAAGTCTGTTAATAGACAGAACTCAGAAGCTAATGTGCTGGTAAGATAAGAACCATTCATGTCTAGGCAAAGAATACGAGCCATTAACATGAATAAATGTGTTTTCAAGTCGGTGTCAACATGAACTGAAATGAAGTTATTGATTAAGCTTCAAGAGCAGAGTAGCATCATTATGCTGGTTGGAGCTGATGTTGGAGTGTAATCAGGACACCATTATCCTCCCACTCCGTCACTGAGAGCATCACATCAGCTCACCTGCCAGACAACACGCTGCTGCTGAGAGCTCAGAAAATCAATGTGGCTGCAGCAGATAGATTCATAGACTTTAGCCCAGCAAATATCTTAATTACTGCCAGACTAGTGTGTACATACTGTGTGTTCTGTGTATTTCTTTAAAGAAGGTACATGATAACTTTTATCTTGAAACTATTAGCTCAAGGTTGGAATGGAGAGGGAGCAGGTGTGTTTGGGGTGGTAAAAAAAAGATGTTTGGTTTGTCCCTTCTTTACATACCTATGAATAATATATTCCATTTTTGCCAGTAGATCCTCCTAAATGTTACACACTGGACACTGGTAGCCGTATTGGCAGATATCCAAATTCAGGTATCAGAACCGAAAAAAAGTAAACTGGTGCATCTCTAGTCTCTAATGTAACCCTGTTGCAAATAAAGGCCTGCTCTCTCTGCCGTAAATCAAGGTCCTGATTAGTGGCCACTATTTATTTATTTATAGATAATATTATATATTCCTTCTATAAAGGGATTCAGGAAATACTACTGCTCTCAGTGTGTTGTGCATGTTTCTCACCATCATGTCCTGAGTTAAGGAGGTGTTCCCCCAGGTCGCAGCCGAACACCCTCTCCCGGAGGATGCCTCTCTGCTTCAGCTTCTGCTTGGTGGGCCTGGACTTCATGAAGGAGCGCAAGAAGGTGATCAGCTTCCCGTGCTTCTTAGACACTGAGGAAGAAAGGACACATCTTAGGTCTCCTACACAGCTGTGTACTACTCTACAGTAAGTGTGGGTTTGACACTGGATCAGCTTTCACACAAGGTCTATCTGTGCACTAGAGTGAAACCCCATACAAGCTGCTCAGGGTTGTCCCATTGTCCATTCCAGCTTCATTCTAATGCAAACCCCTCCTTTATGCATGTGTAGCTTCCTTGAGGCGCAAGCTTCGTTCTTAAATACCACCTCCCAGGCAACTACAAAAGAATCCTCCCTTCAAAACAAGACAAAAAAAAAGAAAAAAGGAACAGACCTTTTTAAAAACCCAAACCGCATAAATCAGATAGTATGTCTGGGAAAGGGTCGTAAGCTTCTTAAACTACACACCAATTGTTTTCTCTGCTTCAGGGAGATTTTTGGATGGCGGAAACAATGGAGCTGGCCTCGACTCCAACCATTTGTAAAGAAAATCTTCACTGAAAATCACACACTGTCAGCCACTGGTGAGACAGTAGCTAGTGTTTTTCCACTCTTGGGTCAGTTAACTTTTCATTTCAGTTTGTGTCATCTATCAGTCTTAAACAGATACAACAATTTGTCAGACTAAAGATAAGTTTTCCACTGATCAAATAAAAGGTCATAGTACATCTATGCCATTTTTCAATGACTGTAGGAATACTGAAGCTCTGTGGAGATTAAACAGTTGACTGCAGGGTTAAAAACAAACCATTTCCCCATCTTAACACTGTACTTACTGGGCTGAATATTAAAGAGCTCCGTTTTTTATACCTTCACCACACTGTAAAGCTTTCACTACAGACCCAAGACAGTCAAAGAATAAGACAAAGTCTCCCAGTCCACTTTCATGTTTTTTGTCTCTGTTCTCTTGCCAGTGTCAGTGGTCTTCCCTCAGCTCCTGTCACTTCTTTAGGTAAAACATTCTCGTCTTGGATCTCACCCTTTTCTAGTCTCTCTTTGATCCTCTGTGGACACTTGCATTGTGCTGCCCTTCACACTGACTTTGACCAACAACTCTCTTATTCATTAACTCTGCGGCTGTCTACAGTACGACTATCCTGTCTGAATTCTGGAGACAGATAAAAGATCGTAGAGCACTTAGCAGCCACATGTCTCATTCAGGAAAGAAACAACAACCCAGGAGCAATCGCTGAGTTTACTACTTAGGGCAAGGCAATAAAAACATCCATTAGTTATCTGATCTATGATCCTTGTGTTCTTTCAGCCACACCATCTGCAACTGCACTAAATCTTTAAAAACAGAGTGACCACAGCAACATCTCCTGTCTGAGGTGCACTGGCTAAAGTGGAAAAACTTGTGTGTCGCATCAGTAATTTTACTTATATTCCAGGCCACATTCCTTAAACTGATTATAAACACAGTCAAGATCACTCCCCTTCCACTTCCCTTCTCGACATTGTATTTATTTTACCTGCTCCAGACTTCAGAGCAACACAAACACAGGGTGCTATTTAAAGAAGCCAGCATTTAAAATTCAATCAAATAAATAACTAGTCTTTGGAGAGATGCAGTTTCTGTTTACTGCGCCTCACTGAGCTCTGCTTCGATTGCAATACAACTGAAAGTAGGCCAGTGCTCACCAAACTCCATCTCCAGAAACAAAACAATACAAGTTAAAGAAAGCTATGGCTGAATTGTGTTTGGAAGATAACAAGAATCCAATGGAAGTGTCAAGGCAGCGTCTTTACTTGCAGCTCTTTTAGCGATGATTTTACTGAAGCGATGATTCATTTATAGATACTTACACAGCATCCTGAAGCACGTGTGTACTGTTATGAATATATTAATTTAAAAGAACCATCCAAAAACATCGGCTGTGTGAGACTTGGCCCTCCTGCCCAGAGACCATTCATTAAGCTCAAATTAATGAGACTGCCTGTTTTGCATGTTAAATGTACACTATGGAGGTAAATTGCATGCAGCAGAGTTAATTGACAGTCCATCGAGTACATTTAGAATGCAAACATGAAGACCGGAGTAAAACTAAAGAGCTGATGGGAATGGAAAGTTACTTTGTAGCTGAATTAATTTAACTGTTTCTCATTGTGTTGGCAGAATACTAACAAAAATATATGCGCATGGTAACAGTGAATGTCTCAGAAATACTGTCAGCAGGCAACTATGTTCAGTGACACTCATTACTTTTCTCACATTTGCTCTTTTAAATCAAACGCTTCCGAGGGAACTCTGCTTGTGTGAAAAAAGTTAGTATAGAATGTATTTGTGACTCCAGAAGGAGATGTGTGAAATCTGATAAATGTCCTTGAGCGTTGTCACTTGAGACAGCGTCGGCTGGGGCTGAAGACTACTAAACTCAGTTAAAAAAAATGTAAAAATCTGTGGCTGTGGAGTTAGAAAGAAGCGACTTTACCAGACCTCTGTGGCAGACATCTCTGCTACATTAGCAGCTGCTAGCATATTACACCGACTCTCTTACCAAACTGTCGTTGGTTGAGTTGCATTGTGGATGATGTAAGGAAGAATGTGTGGAATAAAAAGGCAATATTATTGGTTCTGCTGCTGTTTCAACTGTCCATCATGAGTAGGAATGGGAATTAGGTTGAGAACTGGTTCCAAATAGTCCGCTCCATCGGAATCGTACGCCTTGGAGGGCCAGGGCCAGTTTTCCAATTCATTTCAAGATGAAAGAACACAACAGTGCTGGCTGTAATGTCTGATAAATGATCATTTTTAAGTAAGGGTAGAAACACCGGCAATATGCTGAAACATCTTTCTATGCAACACGGGCTCAAATTCCAGGAATGCCACGTATTTGACACTCTACGCATGAGTGCTGTTGCTTCCCAACTGAGCAGCACGTCCATACTGAGAGGAGATATCCTGTTATAATAACATTAGCGCCACGCAGGCAGGCTTAGCAGGCTTTTTCTTTGACTAAATGAAAATGTATGCTGTATAAATAATCTTTCATAATCTCATGGCGTTGATGCTGAAATCCTCTGTAGGCCTACCTTTTTTTTTTTTCCACATAGAAAATTGATTGGGTATCAATAAAGGAATCCACAAAGAATCTGCCAATAAGCAGAATCGATAGCAGAATTGGTATCAATAAAATCTTCAATTCCCAATCTTAATTGTGAGGTGTTATAGGAGTGTAACACAATATCAGTGGAGTAATCTTTTAAGTGTCAGGGAAAGAGTTACTGAGTTAAAAAAAAGAGACCCAATTCACATTGTTAAAAATAACAGACAGACATTTCTCCTGAAAGGAAGTTCAGACTTGGCTTCCATTCTTTGCACGTCTACCAATCTGCCCACTACGGGCCACTCTGCACACTGCGTGACACGTTTTCTCATTTCACTTTTTTGTAGCTGATAATCAAGTATATTCTGTCAATTAGTGTTTCCTACAGTAGAATTATTTTGGCTGAAAACACACACACACACTAGTCTCTGACAACAAACAAACCCTTGCCAAGACAGATTTATAACTACCTCACTCTTCCAAGTAAATAAATAATGCTTGAATCAAACCTCTGAGTCCCGTGTCTCTATTGTGTGCCATTTTAATGAAGCGGCACAATCAATTCTGAGCCAACAGTGGGCCTCTGCTCCTGCATCCGCAAACAAAACCTATCGTTCCATTTCAGGGAAAAATGGAGCTACAGTTCACCCCTCAGGGAGAAATTCCTTCTGTGCTTCTGTACCCGCAGACAAAACAGCTGAGGCAGCTTTGTTTACTCACTGTTGAGGCATCAAAAAGGGCCTTCAGTATCAAGTAGAGAGGGAGGAGGAGGAGGAAGGGGGGAGGCAGGAGGAGGAAGGGGGGGCTGACTTAGCAATGTGCTGGCCTACACTAACACGTCGCTTTTTATTTAGGAACCCAGACTGACTGGAAGACGTGAGGGAGAGGAGTGCAATGACAAGCATGACTCTCCAGAGGACGGACAGAGACTCCCATCTGCTTACTGTCAAGGCAGATGACAGCCTGAGGGCCAGCAGCTCTTCAAGCATGCTCAGCACTAAAACGGCCTCTGACACACTCACTGCAGAAATCCAGCTGGGTAAAGGCATTTTATTTAAGAATAGTGGGACTGATAAAGATTGCTTCCTGGGCCTTTAATTACAAGAGTTATAGCTTTGGGGGGCGCTTAAAGGGCTATTCCAGTGATTTAGTATCGCACTTTCACAAAGTTTCAGGGGACACATTTGATAAAGGATGGACAAGCGGAGGTTGAGATACCCTGACTTAAACCACACATTTCATTTGACCCTCACTGCCTGGTACATACCAGCTGCGAACAAACTCCACACCTCCAGTTTGTATCGCAGGCTTTTTAATTATAATTTTGTAATCTCAAACCCAAATTATATAATACTAACCCTCATTAGGGTTATTTTCTCAGACTTGACAAAGCTTCTCAAGAGACACAGAAGAAATGATACTATACTGTATAAAGCTGTTTTACACAGGTACATTAGTAGTACTAACCATTAGCGGTAAAGAGTACCCCTTTAACACAAACAGCTGAGATTAAAGCTGCAGTAGGTAATTTTTATGAAAATATGTTTTGTCATATTACTTTCACTATATCCTGACAGCAGTACATGAGACAGATAAT